ACAAGATTTGGCCTAGTTTCACAAAAACAATGATACAACACCTCTTTTAAAAAAAATAAAAATAAAAAAAGCAATGTGTTCCCCTGAAACAAGCATCAAGTGCTGGCATGCTTTTTTCTCCTGCCAATTACAAATTCTCTTCCAGGGAAGGACACCCTGGCTTGAAATATGCTGTGACATTAAAACATCTCCTGACATGAGACACTAGGACATTAAACTTTATCTAAATAAATTTTAAACGTTTTCTGAATCAGAGAAAGGAGCTATTGTTTGGTGTTAGCATCAAGTATTGGGCAGTGTTCCTTATGCACGGTGGTAACTTTTAAAGGAGAACAAAGTTAGAATTCACTGCATTTCGAACTACACATCACATGAGGAATTTTGAACCCAGCTGGGATACATGCCCTCGGAAAGGTTCTTGAAGGCAGGAAGCCTTATCTTTCTGTATCTTTGCACCCCACACTGCTGTGCACAGCGTGGAACCTGCATTTAAGCAGTTCCTGGGGATGTGTCAACAACGGTCAAGGACCACAACCTGAAGAATGAAGCTGGCAAAACAAGCAGATTCCAAATTGAATTTGTACAGAAATAAAACCGCGTCTACTAATGCGATGGCCACTTGCCCTTCTCAAGAATAAAAAATGCGCTCCTGGTGTCAGCAGAGGATCTTTCACTTTCAAAAGGGAAAAAACAACAACAAAACCCGCGATAGTTCTGCCTCTCTAATTCTAAACAGCTGAATCATTCACATATTCACCTGCCCATAATGCTTCCAAGAACTGTCAATGCAGGCTTTGCTTTCTGCAAAGTCCGAATTTAAGACCTTCCCCAGAAGAGCATGGAAGAATTACAGGAAATGAGAGTGATTCGCTGCGTTATCCTTAACCAAACAGGCGGCCCCCGCAATTACATCGATCTCTGGTGAAGGAAAAATGCTAAGCTGAGAAAACATCCGTCCATCCAACGAGTATTTATTAAATGTCTACTTTGGCGCAATGAAAATGGGCACACGGACGCTGGGCTAGGGGTACTGGGGGCCGTCCGCTCCACCGCGGGGCGCATCGCACCCCAGATGCGCGAACCGGGGGTCCAAGGTGCAGCCCCGCGGACTCCCCGGGCCGCCTCCCGCCGACGCCACACAGGTCTCCCTAGCTACGCGGGCTCAGCGGGGGCGAAACGAACCAATCCGTCCAGCCACTGCGGTTAGGGCCACCGCACACCCGGCTGCCGCGGACCCGTAAGGCCGTGGGATCCTCGCACCAACGTGAAGACAGCTCCGTGCCCGAGGGGACACAGTGGGGCATAGGAGTAGGTTCGGTGGGCCCTAGAGAATCCCGGGAGGGTGCGCTGGGGCTGGAGGCCCCTGGGCTTTCTAAGGGTTGTAGAGACCGCGTCGTGCAGAGGTGTGGGGGCCCTAGAGGCTCCCAGACGGACGCGTTGGGGGGCAGTCGACCGGGGATGGAGACCCCTTCAGGACGCGCGCGGCCTGACGCTCACCCAAACAGCCCTCGGAGGAAGGAGTGGGAGGCCTTAAGTCGCTTTTCGGCATCCGCCATCAGCTGGACTGCCTCGCGCTCCTTCCCAGCGTTGTCCATACTTCCTAACGCCGCCGCCACAGCCTCCTCTGCCGGCTGAGTGCGCCTACCACGCCTTCGCTCCCTTCTTGCAAGGCGGCGCGCGCAGGCGCGGTGCGCACAGCCTGCCGGAATTTGTAGTCCGGGACCCACCCTGGAGGTGGGAGCGCAGGCGCGAAGCGCAGGTTGGTTCGGCTGGGGTCAAGGACAGCTCCCAGCGATGTGCAGATCGGGCCAGGGTGGGGTCGAATCTCCCTGACCGCTGGCGCTGGGGGTGGGGTTTTAGGCCAAGGTGAAGTTTAGTCCTTTAAGTATGCGGGAAATGGAAAATGATCCCTGGCTTCCAGAAAGATCACCTTAAACGCTCAGCATTATGTTGGTTCAGGAATTCCTGCTCAGCACAACTGGCATGTGGCCAGTGGATGGATGAGATACCTGTATCACAGAATGGAATGCTCAACCTACAGTCTAGTTTTGCAAAAGGAAATCCAGAGCGGCCACACACAAAAATAACTTCATTAACTGTGCGATGCCCATTTACCCACTCACCCACCCAGTAACAGCTGGCAGAAAGAGACATTTTTACCTCCAGAGCAAGACATTTAAGAATGTATCATTTCTCCCAATATAAATTCAGAGTTATTTTTCAGTCTTCCCATATTGCAACCTTCTAATGGTCCTCTCTTGCTTGATTATAATTGAGTTGCATATATGCAATATATGCATAATTCACTGTTTTTATTGACTGAATTCTTTTCAATGGATGTGAGCCATTGAGCTCTCTTTATCCTTTACATAATGTTTTCCATTGGCGGCGGATCTCCTGGGACACAATATCTGACTTCCAATAAAAATTCTAATCTCCTAGAAGAAGTATCCATAGATAGATGCCATTGTCTGCCAAAGATTTCCAGGACTGTCCCAGAGGGAGTTGTTTGTTTGTTTTTTAATACAAAGCCTTGTCTACATCGTTTACATTTGGCAATGCTAAAGCAGAGGTGGTTACGCAAATACAAAGATCACTGCCAAATGAGAGCTTGTGACAATTTCAAACTATTAATCGGTACTCTGTGGTCACTGCCACACAAAATCTATCTAAGACAATGCTTTCAGAGAGCAAGGCAAGAAGGCCCAAACTCCTAGAAAGATAACTGAAGCAAACGTCACAGAGTTTATGCATTGCAGTGTTATCTGTAGGGAGCTCTCCACGTACCTACCTGTTGCTGGGAGGAGAGGGGGAAGTGAGCTTCTTGTGATATCATGAGAAAAGGAATTTTCTGAGACTCGCACGGGAGGATGAGATATTGTAGAAAGCTTTATTTCTGTGGAAGTAAACCCCTGCGCTTCCCAGGTTCCATTTCCCGTAGTCCCACCAAGGAAGAAGTCCGTCTTTGCCTTTAGCAGGGCTGGGATTAAAGCCATTGCCCAGAGTTTCCGTTCCATGTTGGGGCAAGTCCAATCCAGCAGGCTAGCTTAGTGTGTGTTCCCTGCTGCAGTCCATCAGTCCATTGCATGTGGGGTCTGCATGGCCATCTGCCATGGGGCCTCTAGGGCCACACGGCTATGGAGGAACATGGGCAAATGTAAGAGAGTCACAAGAGCCAAGAGGGTGAGAATTCCTTTGTCTTGGGATTATATATCCCAAATTTTCACAGGTTTGCCGTGGCCCCAGTCCTTCTAGCAAACGATTTCTGTTCCCAAGTTTGACTGACAGGCACCTTCCCCACGTCACCCTGACTTTACTGCACACGTGTCCATCTCCCCTACCCCTAGTGATCTTTGGGGAATGGGCCAGTGATTCCCTGGGGAGTCTAAAGTTTCAGCTTCCTGGTAAAGGTGCCCAGATGGCTGTGCTTATAATGTCTGGCCTCCCCTTTTGCTCCTTTCCTATTATTAATAACTAGCTTATTACAACCATATCAGCTGGACTCCAAAAGTAGAAGGAAATCTCAGATCTTCAAGTAGAGTTTATTTACTATTACAACATGCATTATTCTAACTTGTGTATTTTGGGGGCAGGAAATTGGAGGTGGCAGTAAATGCAGGAGTAAAGAGGAAAACTGAATAGAACAAAAAAAAACGTAAGCACTTGGAAAGCAGAGCAGTCTAATGGGTGAGGCAGGATTGTAAGAAGCTAGGAAAATTCTTTGATAAGTGGATTAGGGAAACTAGGACAGAGAGTTAAATGGCCAGGCAGTTTACAGCCATCTAGTAGTCACAACATCCTATCTTCCATAATCAAGGACCCAAGAGTAAATGGTTTACACTTCTCCTTCCTAACCAGAGGGTAAATAGCTTAAATCATCCTACTCAAAGAGATGCTAGTAGATATTGGAAGTCCAATTAGCACCATTTGTCAACCACATACAAGGACAGATGAAATTATGGGAATAAATCTCATTTGGTGTATCAGCATAAAATTGATGAATATTGTATGAGATCTTCCCCTGAGACCTCCCCTAAACTCCCAGTCTTTTAAACCCTTCAAGACAAAGGACCCAGCAAAGCTCTCCCTCCCAGGAGCATGCCCATACCTTTCCCTTCCCCCACAGGCATGCATCTCCTAAGGGACCCCAGGAAATTTGCAACCAGAGGAGCAATGGGCAGTGGCAGCTCACCCCTGGCTAACCCCTTGAACTTGTCTCCAAGGTTCCTTTTCTCTGACTTTCCAGTGAGCTGGCAGAAGCCTCACCTTGGCTCACTTCTTTCCTGTAACATTTCTAGAGAGCCAAAGCAGCCTCTCTTTCCTGTTGCTTCTATCCTAGGCTCTTCCTGTTTCACTGTCCCTAGCTTTAATCAAAGTACTGTCTATATCACCTGTATTTATGCTGTGAAATCTCTCCTGCATAAAGTCAAGAACCCACACACTACAGGCTGGCCAGAGGTTTACCTGTTCTGGATGGTCCCTGTCCAATAACATGGGGATTTAATGGAGCAGGGCCATCTCAAAAGCTCTGAAGTGCAGCATCGGTATGGTGATTAAAACAGTTCCCAAACTTGGCTCAATGTGGAAACTCTAAAGAATGTCCAAGAAATACGGACTCCTGAGTCACTAGCTTTTTGTATCAGGATTTCCTAGAGTGGGGTCCAGGGAGTGTACCTTGTAAGAACTCTCCACAACTATGCTAAAATGTACAATTCTAGGTCCTCCCATCTAGTCAGCTGGAAAGGAGGTGGAATGGACTGCCTCCTCTAAACTAGAACTTGTGATTTAAGGGTTTCAGGGATATATATTGGAATTTCTTCTGTTTCTGGGTATTTCCCTCATTCTCTCTCTCTCTCTCTCTCTCTCTCTCTCTCTCTCTCTCTCTCTCTTTTTCCCTCACAGTAAACCTACAGGAACTCCCACTCTCCCCCAGGTCACACCCAGAGGCTAGGTGAGCAGAGGTGACAGGACAGAGAGACAAACCTGATAGAGTGAGGACTGACTAGAGCAGTGGTTCTCAACCTTCCTAATGCCGCGACCCTTTAATACAGTTCCTCATGTTGTGGTGAACATGCAGGATGTATTTTCATTGTTATAAATTGAACATAATTAAAGCATAGTGATTAATCACAAAAACAATATGTAATTATATATGTGTTTTCCGATGGTCTTAGGCGACCCCTGTGAAAGGGTCGTTCGACCCCCAAAGGGGTCTCGACCCACAGGTTGAGAACTGCTGGACTAGAGGGACAGATGAGGAATCTGAAGGAGTTTGAGAAAACAGCAGAAGCAGGAAAGACACTCTGACCTCCCCATACCCTTCTCCTTTGAAAGCAAGAGGTAAATGTCCCCGTGTAAGTGCCCTCCTGGCACCAGAAGGAAGGAAAACATCTTTATCACTAGAGGTGGGGAATTTAGCTCCGTGAAGGCTTTATAAACAAACCTTGAGACTTCTTTACCACTTACTACCCCTCACCCAAACTCCTTTGTCTTGCCAATTCTTTACAGATCTGTTTCTTTGTCTACAGGTATACAAGCTTTCTGCTCTGAGCACTTCTTTGGGTTGCCATTCTCTTGTCAGGTTCCCACATAAACGTAAAAATTCAATTAAATGTGTGTGTTTTCCTCTGGTTACTCTGTCTTATACCAGTTTAATTCTTAGGCCAACCCAGAGCCCCGAAGAGGGTACAGGAGAAATTCCTTCCCTTTATAAGCAACACCCAAACTTGAGAAATCAACTTTCTTTTTTGAAAAATATTATTTTTAATTTTTCAATTACAGGTGACATATATTAGATCCAGGTGTACAACATAGTTATTTTACATTTATATAACTTATGAAGTAATTACCTCAATGAGTAGTACTCATATGATACTATACATAGTTATTCCGGTATTATTGACTATATTCCCCATGCTGTACTTACATCCCTGTGATTGTTTTATAACCAGCAATTTATACAATGTAATCCCTCCCCTTTTTTCACTCACCCACCATGGCCCCTCCCACTTGACAACCATCACAACTGCATGATTAAATTCTGAATAAGTAAAGTTCACAATGTATTCCTCCTTCACAAGGAGGTGGGTGGGGCTTACCTCACAAAGCTCTGCTGGGCTCATACTAAGATAGCTTGAGCCAGTGCCAGGGCCTGCAGGCACAGTGAGAAATCCAGCCGGCAGAAATCTGTGGTGAGTAGCTGGCGGGTGAGTACAGAGAACCTCTAGAGAAGCATAGGAAATAGGTGATGGCTGGGTGAGATAGTTGGAACCCAAAGCAGGTAAGTAGAATGCCCCTGACCCTGCTCCATGCCCCTGATTTCTTATATCCCAGTTCAAACATCATGTTCTCCATAAGCCTTTCTCTATTTCCATGAATGGCGTTCCTCTGTCCAATACACCGGGTCTTATTGCATAGCACTGTAGAGGTCTGTTTTGGGTTTTTCTTCCTTTGTAGGTGTAAAGGCAGGGAGAAGGTCTTACCCACCTTGGCAGGTGTTTAGAAATTATGCCTGTCTGAAACACCGAAGAACCGAATGGGTGTGGAAAATGACCTGACCTGAGAGTAGGTTGGACAGCCACTCAGAGAGATTTCTCTGTCTGGTCCTTCCGTCAAATCGTGGGCAGGGTGTTGAAAGGAAGAGGCCCAGGTCTCAGTCTCTGTTTAAATGCAGGCAGCTGTCTC